GAGTAAACATCTTGGGGCTCTTTATTAGTTTATTTCAGAAGATGGAGCCTGTTTGTCCCTGGGGCCCGTCCCTCTTTTATGGCCTCGAGCCTTTCTTGACAAATTCTAGTGACTGGAGAGAAAACCGCTTTCTACAGCAGATCATTAAAACACCACCATAAACCAGGGTCATAAAACATTATTTGCTGGGCATAAAAAGGGGGTAGATTTTCCCAGAATGACAACCCAGGCCGGGCTTTCTCCCGCTGGGAAAGTCGACACAGGGATGCAATCGTTCATAAATTCCTTATCTTGCGCCTCTCTTTGTAAAATAACGCCGTTGGGACAGCAGCCAAAAAATATTGATTTATTAGTTCCACAGGCTCAAAATCATTTTTAATGAGAGAAGAACGGCGATGCCTTGCCAGTGTGTCTTCAGATGACTCAATCCAAGAGCACACACCCAACTGCACACAGGGTTCGCAAGGGGAGACATGCCCCATATTGGAGGGCTGTGGGTCACAAACCTTCACAGACAGAGAGGCATCAATTTCTCTCCTTCCAACTGTCTGCTCATTTCCCAGCCAAACCAGGCAATATCTCCAATGGGACGGATGGGTTCTTATAAATGAGCCTGGCTCTTCAGGGCAGCCCCTACCACCCACTACCACTGAAGGCTCAAGGAAATTTTCAGTTGATCCTCTTTGATATCACTCACTGAAATACTTCTTACATCCCTGCACCCATTCATTCACTTGGTTGTTAGTGAGTATCTCATAAGTGCCAGGAATAGCTCAGACGACTGAGGCCACAGCCATGGAAAACACAGAGAAAGTCCTGATGATAAGGAGCTGATTACTGGTGAGCTATAACCTCAGAACACCCATTATTAATATTATCATATAAAATCCACATCTTTTTATCTGAAGACCTTGGAACAGATAGATTTGTTGAAGATTTTGAAATATTTTTGAAGGATAAAATAAAGCCTATGATTCTTGGTTTGCAAAACCAGTGAAGCCTGGGAAGTACCCCGCAATTGCGTGTGTATTTCTTCATATTCAACTACAAGTGGAATAACTCAAGATTATAAAGGTCTTGTCAGGTGAGGTCCAGTTTTGCCACCAAAGAAGTTTGAAAAGCTCTGTTTTCAGAGCTGCTTTTTAGAAGAGTAGGTATCCAATGCCAAGTGAGCCCAACCCAAACTCAGTGCCACTGAGATTATCATGGTGTGTTCTTCTCACCAATCCCTGATTTTCTTTTTCCCTTCCTCCCTTGAACCAGGTGTTCCTTTTTTTTTTTTTTTTTTTGGTACCAGGGATTGAACCCAAGGGTGCTTAACCACTGATCCACATTCCCAGCCCTTTTTAATATTTTATTAAAAGACAGGGTATCCATGAGTTGCTTAGGTTCTCGCTAAATTGCAGAGACTGGCTTTGAACTCAAGATCCTCCTGCCTCAGCCTCCTGAGCCACTGGGATTATAAGCATGCATCACCAAACCCAGCTCTAATCCCTGATTTTTCAAGGTCATTCCATTTCATTCTCAGTGCATCCTACAAGGTATATCAAGCTCTTTCTGTTTGTTATTATGGGCTTGTGTTTAAGAAGATTCAGAAGGGGGCTTTATGACTCATCTAGGGATTTACTAGAGAACAGCAGGGCAGGGAACTGGAACTCCCAACTCAAGTGTTGGTACTCTTAACCACTAGCCAACACCATCTTCCACTAGAGGGGAAAAACTGCAAAACAAAGAACCCAGAATTGTTGAAGCTGTGTCTGTCATGCAAAGGCAATTGAAGAGAAGCATGGAATTATCCAGATAATTCAGAAAACAGCAACTTTTTAAAAAAGTTTGTGGCTGGGTAACCAGTGTCTCTTTACTGTTTGCATCTTTACAGAATGGGTTCATTCAGGAGAACTGCCTCTGGACTCTAGGGCACTTTGGTGCCAGGTGACTCCATGCCTTCTTACCTCTCCTTTCATAGCCACTAACTTTGTTCAACCTCTCAGTTTTGCCACAGAAAGCTAGGTGCTCCACATCCACTGTCCCAGGGCAGAGCTAGGGTGCCTACTGAGGGGGCATGTGGACCCCCCTGGCCAGGGGGAATTTCAGGCTGCAGCCACTGGACAGAATATCTAGGAAGATAGGGAAGGGCAGAAGGACACTGTTTAGAGGCAGTTCTAGAGACTCAGAGACTCCTCTTTTTAGTACCCTTGTGTCCCATGGGCAGATTTCAAACTAGATGGGAAAAGCATAAAATGCTTTCAGGTCACCAAGTGGTCAAAACCTAGAGAGGGTTAGAGGAAAGGAAACCCAGGATGTGAAGAGGAGTTTTAAGAACCTTGGGCTCTTTTTCCTTAAGGCTCTTTTCCCTTAATGTGCACTAGATGAAAGAAAGCCAGGCAATCTGAGCAAGGACATCTATTTCTTTGCATTTTGTGAGAGCTTCCACCACCATTTTTAGTTCCAGGCAAAGGAGAATGGGGGTGGGGAGGCCCTTAGGGCCAGGTGGGCATTTTGGGCCTTTAGGGTGGGGCAATTTAGGGCCAGGAAGAGGCTGTAGAAGGAAGGATAAGGTCTGGAGCCCCAGCTTGCACGCCCAAGGATAATTAGCTGAGGGTGGAAATGGGGGACTGAAGGAACAAACCCAAACTGCCACCACCCGAAGTACCCAGGCCACAGACATTGCCCCTTAAGATCAAGTGCATGCCCACAGATGATGAAAATCGATTCCAGTGTGTGTGTGTGTGTGTGTGTGTGTGTGTGTGTGTGTGTGTGTGTCTTCCACCCTTGACCGCTAGAGGATGGGAACCACAGAGAACAAGAATCGCGCTGCAGTGTGAGGCACTGTTTTGGGGGTGGCGCTCTTAGAGTGCTGAAGGGAGGGGGACACACATCCTACAACCCGCCCCTCCAGAGTCCCAACAACTGCGGGCATCTGAAAGTGTCTAGAGGTTCCGGGAGCCCTGTTTGGCCAAACTTCACAGTCTTCTCACCTGATAACCATCACCTAGATCCGCGCGGCAGGACCACGCGTCGCGCCTAGCTGCACTGGGTCTCATCCAGACGAGCAATCGTGCCCCCCGAACCCCYTCCTACACTGGCGGCTTTGTAGGATGTTTGCTTCCACCCTAGCCTCTAGCCAAGAGCTTAGGTACCCTCCCCCAGGGGTAAGAATGGGGWGGAGGTCCTCCACGATGTTCCGCGTCAGGGCAGCAGTCTCTGCGGAGCCCCAGTGGGAGCGGTCTGGGACAAGCCAAGGGGTCCAGTTTGGAAAGTTGGGGTTCAGTCTCCCGCGGGCCAGAGGCTTTGGAAGAAGCATAGACAGGCAGGCGGCGGGCAGGCAGCGGCTGCGGAGTGGACCTCTCTTTCAGCAGATGCCTGGGGGATGGGGAGCCTAGAGAAGGGGGCCCAAAGGGTGGTGTACCCCGCCTCCCAGCACCCCAGCCCGTAATACGGCTTTAAAATCCTGCCGAGTTTGTCATAGGCCGGTATCACCACGCATGCGCATAGGCAAACTAGAGTTTTTCTCCCCCCCACCCACCCCCCCGCCTTCCCTCTCTCTTTCCAGCCGCCTTTGGTTCTGCAACTTAAAAAAAAAAATTATATATATATATATTTTTTTTCTTTTTTTTTTTCCCTGAGAACACCAGGGAAAAGAGGAGTCCGAAGAAAGGGAGGGAAAGAGAAAGGCAGTTGGCCAGCAGGGCCGGGGGGTGGGKGGGTGGGGGGAACGGTCCCCACGGTCGGTCAGTCTGTCTTTGGGGCACACGATCGCGTGGAAAGCTGCTGCAGGCTCCGAGGCGCCGCCTCCGCCGCCCAGAGTCCGGTTCCCTGCCGCTGCTGCCCAGCGAGCTCCTTCCGCCGCCGCCACCGTGCCCTGGACCGGTCGCCTGCCCCCCCACCCCCTGCCCCTCGGACCCCCGGCACCGAACCAGGAGGTGGGCAGCCTGGCCGGCCATGGACCGCCGGAGCTGAGTCGCCGATGTGGAGCCCTGAGCTCTTTCTCCTCCCAAGCCCCGAGCCCGCGGTGCCCTAGCTCCTTTTCGCCTTCGCCCTGGAAAGGCGGGGAAAAGAGGGACATTAACCCGAAGAGAGAAAGAAGGGGGTGAAAAGGGAAAAGCCAGCGTCTCTCCGGAGGCAATTTCCCATTGCCTTCTCAACAAACGGCGCGGCAGAAAGTTTAGGGGCCGATTTTCACTCATTTTTGCGCCCCGTTTTTTTTTTGCCAGACCCTAAAATGAAAGGACAAAATTTGGCTCCGACTCTTGCAGCTCTGATGGCGACTTGTGCGTTTTCAGCGGCATCTCCTGGAGAAAAAGCCATGCGCGCCTGATTGTTCTGTGGCCCCAAGGCTGCAGTGGGTGTGTGTGTTTGGGTGTGTGTCTCTGTGTGTACACAGACGTCCGCACACTAACTCGGCTGCAGGATCAGCCCCTGGAAGCAGACGTTTCGGCCACAAACCGAGAGAGGAGGAGCTGGAGATCAGGAGGCGTGAGCCGCCAGAAGTTTGCAGAATCCGTGGTGTGAATGAACTGGGGGCACCTGGGCGCAGGGATCGGCCCCCCTTCCCCCGCCTCGGGCCAGAGTTGAGTAGTGGGTTTTTTTTTTTTTTCACTCTCTTGTGAAGAATTTTTTTTATTATTTGTTGTAAAGTCTTTTGCACAATCACGCCCACATTTGGGGTTGGAAAGCCCTAATTACCGCCGTCGCTGATGGACGTTGGAGAGGGAGCGCCTCGCCGCGGAGCAGTAGTCTGCGCGCCCTCGCCGGACCCGCGGCTCCCTCTTTGCGCCCCGGCGCGGCCCTGCTTCGGCTGCTGGCTCGAGCTCCTCCGCGCCCCCTCGATTCCTGGGCGCATCTCAGCACTACCCCAGCTCGGAAGCCCAGGCCCGGGCGCCAGTGCCCGCTTCGGCTCAGGTTCATTGCGCCCACCCGACGCGCCCGGTAGGACTTCTCAGCCCTGCTCCAGATCGTCCCCCTAGGCTTAACCCGGCCGCTCCGCTTGGATTCCTTGGCTGCCCTCGCTCGGGTGGCGACTTCCTCCCCGCACCCCCTCCCCCTCGCCATGAAGGTAGGTGTTCTATGCGCCGCGGACGTTCGCCACTCATTCTTTTCTTCCCTTCTTCTCTTTCTTTCTTTGCTTTTTTTTTTCTTTTTGTTTTGGAAGTTAACCGAGTCCCTTCCACCTCTTCCTAGTTCTCCCTTTCTTCAACCCTCTGAACTCCTGTGTCGCTGGCAGGGTCTCCTACCTCTTCACCCCCTACCCCAATGCTCCCGCTACTGCCTCTGCGTACTCCAGAGACCTCGTCGCATCAAGCATTCTGCAAATCTTTTCAACTTTGAAGAAAAAGTGGGGAAGATCGATGGTAGAAAGACTGAGAGTAGTTCACGGACGACTTTCTTTTTACCCTGAGATTCTCGAGTGTAGTTTACTGTGTATATATTTCAGGAACAGGATAATGATTCAATTCAACAGATATTTATTAAGCGTCCACTGCGCGGGCACCAGGGGGATGTGTAGCAGGGGCTCGAAAGGGGAAGGGAACTCTTTGGTTGGGAGATCTGGCAATGGGACTAGAGGCCAGCTACTCAGAGAAGCGCATTCTCTACCCCCCACCCTCCCGACTTAGGCCAGGTTGCAGGCTAGTCTCTGCCGACTAACAGGGAGGTTACAGGCCCCTGTGCCTTTAAGAGTGCCTGGCGGGGGGCCAGCGCGCACCCCGGCGCGGGGAGTAGGGTCGCGTTATTAGCATTATTAGCCGCCACTGGGTGAGCTCAGGCACTTTGCAGTGGTGGTGGGGGCGGGGAGTAGTGGTCTTGGTGGCTCTAATCCCGTGGGTTGAGAGAGCGCGCCCCGACCCCCTGAGCGCGATCGGCCTGGTTCTTTAGAAACCCTTGGGCCTCCGCGTTGGGAGAGCGGGCGGGGGCCAGTTTGTGAACTCGTGTTTGTTTTAATTGTCAGTTGTCTGTTAAAGCCGAGTCACACACTCCGAGGGTCATCGAGAGTTCACTTTTAAGAAAAGTTAAACGTTTCTTCCTACAATATAACTTTGCTTTTCCCCCAAACAACTTTTCCTCTTTYTGCCTTCCAAGTTTAGATCCTTATTTCTATTCTTCTTCGTCTTTCCCATGTTCAGTTTTCTGGAGAATGAAGTTAGAATTGGAATTAAGATGTTTCCTAAAAGCAAACAACATCCCTCTCCCCTCCCCACCCCGCCCCAACACCACAAAAAAATGGTAAAATAAAATAAAACTCGAGTCCTCACGGCCCTGTTTTACTTTCCAATCCCGGTCTAACATCGGGGCCACTTCTCTCTCGTCTTTCTTTAAAAGGACAGTTCGTTGTTTGGAAGTAACTTGGGCCCTGCTGTGCGATCACACCTCCTCAGCTCTTTGCCGGCTCACCAACATTCGCATTCACTGCGGAATCACCAAGAGATTTGTTTTCTAGACAGCCTCTACCAGGGGGCAAAGCTGAGAGCGCAAAGCGACCCAGAGGCAGTCGAGAAAGTGGGGCGTGTGTCGGAGTGTGTGGATTCTTGCCCTGCGTGTGTGGGGAGTGGTGGTGGTGGTGGTAAAGGATCAGTTGTTCTCAAGACTTGACATACCAACGTTAGTCTCCCTCCCACCCCAGGGAAGACCCTCCCAGGGAGGCCCAGCCCGATTCCCTTGTCTTCTCTTTCCAACCCACCCTTCCCCTCCCCTCCCTTCCCGGGAACGCTGCGGTGCACAAGGGGTTAGCACTGTGCGCGCAGAACTCGGAGCGGTACCCTGAGCTTTTTCTTCCCCCGCTGGACGGTACCGGCTGCCCCCTGTTGGYTATCTTGAGGTAGGACGCCGCCGAGCTCCGTTCCTGGAGCCCGCCTGCTGCAACTCCTCTCTCCCTCCCACCTCTGCACCCCTCCATCCTTTCCAACCATTGGGCCCCACTCTCCCAGCATGGCATCTCTAAAGTCCCCAGAAGATTAATGCATTGCGCAGCCGCTGCAATAAGAAGGGACGGTGGTCTAACCTAAGCAAAAGGGGCTTCAGGTTGAAGTGTTGGTACCTTTTTCTGGGTGTAGGAGAGAATGTGGCCCTGGGAGGACTCCAGTGTGGCCTCAGCTGTCTCACCAGGTTTCTCTGTGGTCTTTCACAAGTATTGTTTTCCCTCCCTCGGCCTCAGTTCTTCGTCTATTAAAAAGTGGGGGTAAAACTGTCTCTAAAAATTGGAAGTTGGACTAATTTTTAATTTTCTTTCTCTCTCCACGGACTCTGCTCACCTCTGGGCAGAGTTGAGCCTATTGCAGAGAGATTTAGACAACCTGCATGAGAAAGGGTAAATGGTGGTAGTGGTGGTGGTGGTGGTGGTGGTGGAGGAGGAGGAGGAGGAGGAGGAGGAGGAGGAGGAGGAATGTATGTATGTGTGTGTGTTGGGGTCTGAAGAGTCCTGTGGAGGGGATGCATGCATGGCAAAAAATAGGAGAGCTAGGTCAGACATTTCTTCTCTTGGAGCCTCCAGTCCCCTGACCTGCCATCGGTTCTAAGACCAGGGTGGTCAAAGGATGTTCACCTTCTTTGCACTGATTCCTGCTCCAGGAGTTACCTCTGCTTTCTTTCCCTGGCTATTCCCTACCCCTGCTGTGCGCCTGCACACAACACAGCGCTGTGAGAATACTTACCCCTGGCTGCGTGGGATGGCTGTAGTTCCCCTGCTCCTAATCACAGGGCATGGGGAGCAAGGGCTCCTTCCTCTGATGCCCCCAAAGCGGACCCCCTGCTGGCCTTGGTCGGCCCATTCTTTCGCATCACATCTCTTCTCTCTCCGCATTCTCCCTGGGCAGGATGTCCCAGGTTTGTGGTTGCAACAAAGTTTTTTTCTCTGCAAGTTTTTTCATTTCTCTTCTTGCTTTTGGAAGAAAGTAGAGTGAGGAAAACAGTTGCTTTTTTTTTTTTTCTCCCCCACCAAGAGCCGATTTTCTTCTTGGAGTTTCCCATCTTCCTTTTCGTCACCGGGAGCCCGAGTCAAATCACTTCTTCCGCCTAGTTGGCGTCCCTCATCACTTCCACTCCCAGACTTGGGCCCTAGATGTACAATCTAGTAGAAGGGGATGCCCAGACCGACTGAGGTGATGGGCCCAGTGGAGGAGGTTCGGAGACCGTGCCCAATCTTTTTTGTCATTTCTTTTGAGCAGTCACCGCCTGTGGCTGCTCTAGAGTGCTGGGCGAGTTTGCGCGCGCGTTCTGAAGCTCCTTGGCTGGAGTCCGGGGGACATCCTCTGATCAGTTTTCCTCATCAAAACTTACTTTCCCTTACCCCTCAACATCCCCCACAGTTGACACCTTTGATCTAACGCGGAGACTTTGGGGGAGAGACTTAACGCAGGAGCCAAGACATACATAGATAGAGCTACTCTGGATTGGAAAGGAACGCCCTCCCTTCACCTTACCCCACCCTTGCGCTGAAACTGGCAAATGCCCCCAACCCTCCTCTTGGTGCACAGGAGGAACAGCTTCCCAGGGTCCTTACAGTGTCGGCTTCCCTGGGCCTCTGTTGGAAAACATTTAGCTCATTCTTCTGACCAGAACTTTTGTTTATCCCTGGTGTGACAGTCTCCTGAGAAGTCCCATTTCGTACTGTCTTTTCGGATCAGATCTTTTGGTAAACAGATGGGGATGTTTTACCCTACAGAGTGGATGTATTTATTAGTGAGTTCGCTGTGGGTTCCTCGAGTCTTTCAAACTTGTGGGGCCTTTTCTGGGTTGCGATGCAATTGGAGCGGGAAGAAGGCCAAGGTGTTTCCGGGCAAGAGCGCGGGGTTAAGTGGAGGCGCTACTCGCTGGGGCTCTCCTGTTCGATCCCGGTTGGGACACCCCAGCCTACCCTACCCCGGAGCTGGAGAGACCCGAGTCTGGAGACCGGATGACTCCACTCCTAGCTGGCCCCGGTTCTGGGAACTGGTGGACTCGTCCCGGGGCGTCGGGCCACAAGTAGGTTCGGTTTGTGGGGTTTCGGCTCTAACAAAGAGATCCGCTGTAATCCGCCGAATCTGTTATCAATTTCTCCTCTGCCGGTGCCCCGCCCCACGCGCCCCGCCCGTAGCGAAGCTCCAAAAGTGCGCGCAGCCAGCAGAGATCTGGGTCACCGACTCAAAAGCACGTCGGAACCTGTGTGTCTGTGCACGAGTGTGAGTGTGTAAATGTGCATGAGGGTGAACGTGTTACGCGTGTGTGTGTGCGCGCGCGCGGCTTTGGCCGCGGTGGAGCAAAGTAGACTTTGCAGCTTGGGCCGCGCGGGAAAGCAGACCTTGTAGCTCACCCCCTCCCCTGGAGGAAACTTGACACTTCAGTCGGGGGTGGGGAGGGAGACTGAGTATTCTATCTCCCAGGCTGGGGAAACCCCAGATTTCCATTCTCCAGGATGCGCCCCCAGCTTTGCGGTGCTTTGGGGGAGGACTGGGCCACGGGTGCGGAGCCCTGGTTAGCTGGCGCTGGAGAATGCATAAGCATTTCCTCTCCGAGAAGCCCGGAGGTGTCTGGACCCAAAGGACTGGCTCTCCGGGAAAAGTCGCGGCACGCTCCAGAGCCCCTTAGCATTTTCAGCGCTGCCTGGGTCCCCTCCATCCCTTTTACCATGGTTTCCAGGCAGGGCTCTTCCGCTGCTTGGAGGAGGCTCACCTTTCTTTCCTTTCCCGAAGAAGGGGCTCCCTCTGGGGCTGCGGGCGGCACAGCGCGACAGAATTACGCTTATCAGAAATGTAAAATGGGATTTTGGAAACCCGCTCCTCCCACCCGCACTCGCCTAGCTCCGCCGCCGCCTACAGGTGGGGAAGTCACCAGTGGGCAGGAATGTCAGGGGAAGCTTGCAAGGCCAACTCCTGCCATTGAAATTCTTCACGAAAGGAACCTTCGCCGCCCGAGGCCCTGAGACCTGAACTCTGGGGCACAGCTGCGGCTTGGGAGCCAGTGCATCTCTGGCCCTCGCGCTCCTCTCTCCCTCATCCAGGAACTCAACTCGTCCTGTCCTCTCCCCACTTCCCTGCCTTTCGGAATTGACTAAACTCTATCTAAGTGGGGCTGGAGAGGCTAGACTGGAGGCGGGGTGGCRGCGTTCCAAGGCCAGGCTCTTGGTGCAGCGATCGCGAAGTGGCCGACAACCCCAGACCGGGAAGGACCCAGAGAAACTGGAGTCTCTCTGGGCTTCCTGTCCCCTCCCTCCACAGCAGCTGCCGGGCATGGGGGCAGGAGGGGAGAATGAAAAAAAAAAAAAAATCAATTTGGGGGGAGGTTGTGAGAAGGGCAGGGAACGTGTTCTCTCCCAGAAGGATGGGACCCAGAACCTCTTCTTTCCTCAGGAGTTCCATTCCTTCTCTGAATCTGAGGAGGAGGCCGCAGGCAGGGGTGGTGGTGGKGGGGGGCACCATTTTCCGGTTTCTTTGGTTGGGAGAGCAGACCTCTCTCCCTGTTCTCCCCTAGGCCCCCTCATCTCCTTCTCCCCTCCCCAATCAGGCTGAAGAGCGTCCTAAAGGAAACCCGGGGCTGCTCTTCCCCATCTGGAAGTGGCTTTCCCCAAATCGGCCCGTAAACTGATTATGAAACATACGAAGTTAATTCTGAGCTGCATTTCCCAGCTGGGCACTCTCGAGCGCGTTGGTCCCCGGGGCCTCGCCCCCCACCCCCTGCCCTTCCCTCCCGCGTCCTGCCCCCACCCCCCACCCCCACGCTGGCCACCCCGCCTCCTCCGCAGCCGCCTGCGGCGCGCTCCACTCGCCTTCGCGCTCCTCTCTCCCGCCCATGGAATTAATTCTGGCTCCACTTGTTGCTCGGCCCAGGTCGGGGAGAGGACGAGGGTGGCGGCGGGTTCCCGAGTGAATTCCCGAGGAGGGACCGAACTCAGCGCGAACTAGAGGGGAGCGAGGGGGTGCGGGACTGGAGCAAAAGCAGGAAGGAGGCAGCGCCTGGCACCGGGGCTTTGACTCAACAGCATTGAGACATGTTTGTAATCGCTGGCGTGCCCCGCGTGCAGGATCCTAGCGAAATCAGATTTCCTGGTGAGGTTGCGTGGGTGGATTAATTTGGAAAAAGAAACTGCCTATATCTTGCCATCAAAAAAAAAAAAAAAAAAACTCACGGAGGAGAAGAAGCGCAGTCAATCAACAGTAAACTTAAGAGACCCCGGATGCTTCCGTTGTTTAAACTTGTATGCTTGAAAATTATCTGAGAGGCAATAAACATCTGCTCCTTTCTTCCCTCTCCAGAGTGGAATATTAAGCCCAGGAGTGGCTTTGAGGACGGCTGGAAGTGCAATGTCTTCCAAGTTCTTCCTAATGGCTCTGGCCATATTTTTCTCCTTCGCCCAGGTTGTAATAGAAGCCAATTCTTGGTGGTAAGTTCATTTCTATGTGTATATTCCTCTTTTTTAAAATTTTAAATTGGGAATTCTTTTGTAAGATGCTGCAACATTTAAAGCTAGGTAGTGAATGTAGGTTCATTTATCCAATCCATGTATGTATGATCTATTTTACTTATACATATTTTAAAATTGGTATTTTCTTTTAACTTGTTGATATATTGTAAAGCTTTATCTTCAGTTCCTTAGGAAATCAGAACCTGTAAATCTAGGCCTTTTTTCTGTAAGGCCCTTGTTCAGACCTGCGCTTGTAGAACATCATGTAATAAAAGGGAACAGAAATTCACTTCTCTAATAATTGTAAGCCTATCTATAAAATTTATTTTTTTTGTCACCTCTAAGTAGTAAAAATGAGTCTCAACTTTTATTTTATTTTATTTTTTTTTTGTCACTTGAGGTTATTAACCTACAGAGCAGCAGAGTGGTAGGGAGACAGTTCTACACCAAGTGGAGAAGTGTTTGGGCTTGAAATTTGATCAAAAGGAGGTGAACTTGAAGTAGTCAAATATCCGTAGTGGGGGTTTCTTTCTTCTTTCTGGAAGGGCCTTGTAGACTGCAATATATCCAGAGGATTATTTTTGACGGCACTCTGGATATTTTTTCCCCTGTAAATGAATAGCATTTTTCTGTCTGTCAAACATGACTTCTRTTCACTGGATACCCTGTGCTGAGTCCTTCACAATCACATAAGGAACTCTTTTAAAGTATCCAGAAACGTGGTGAATTTTCTTCAGTGCGTATACTTGTCCCTCTGTTCTTCCATCAGTCGAAAAGAACTGCTATCTCCTAGCCATGTCTAATTGTGTCTACTTTCAGCATTCATATGTTTTCAAGGAAGGCAAATCCAATTTGTGGGGCAAAGTGAGTCACTTTTCTCTAATGTCAAAGGCAGTCCCCCCCGAAACTGCCATTTCTCCCTTTTCTGGGTAGATTTTGGAAATATGGGTTCAGGTATATGGCAAATGAGGGCAAGAAAGGGAGTGAAAGCGCTAACTACAGAGCCAGCTGGCAGGATGGGGACTGCACAATACCTCCGTTTTCTGAGCGGAGTTTAAACAGAAGAGTTTTATGAAGCCCTCCTCATACTTTGTCATGAGGACAAGCAGGAGAGAAAAAGCATCTGTGTGCTTAAAACTATGTATTGCTGACATGCTTTCAGGGGGCCCACCTCCAGAGTTCACGTAAATCTTGAATGCACATCTCCCCCCCCCCTTTGCAGGTCGCTAGGTATGAATAACCCTGTTCAGATGTCAGAAGTATATATCATAGGAGCACAGCCTCTCTGCAGCCAGCTGGCAGGACTTTCTCAAGGACAGAAGAAACTCTGCCACTTGTATCAGGACCACATGCAGTACATTGGAGAAGGCGCGAAGACAGGCATCAAAGAATGCCAGTATCAGTTCAGACATCGAAGATGGAACTGCAGCACTGTGGATAACACCTCAGTCTTTGGCAGGGTTATGCAGATAGGTAGGAAACCACTTAAAATATATGTGAACTGTTTTTGGTTTTTTTTTTTTCCTACAAAAAGTCTTCCATGTTTGGGCTGGATGAGGAGGGCATCTTCCAGCTTGGATGATGGCCTGGGGATTTTTGACATTGCAGTGGTCCCACATCTGATCCTAAGTTTCTAACTTCTTTAACCAGATCACAAGGGGAGCATAAGGGACACCTCCATTTTCCTGAACACCTACTTTTTATAAAATGCATTTTGTTGAAAGTAGAAAACTTCTTCTAGTTTCTCAGAAGCAAATGGTGGTGGGGAGAGGGGAGTCAAGTCATTTAGAACCTTTTAAATGTAAAAACTCTTTTGTTAGAAGTTTTCTTAAGCCACAATTCAAAGGACCAGACATCAAACTAAAAACCGTCATCTTTCAGAATGCTGGATAAGTTGCAAGTGAACAAGGTTTTAATTTTCTTAAAATAGATATGTCCTGAGACCACGATGATATATATGTTAAAAGCTTTTTTTKGGGGGGGGGTTCTAGAAAGAATTTTAATTAGAAATGATGCAATTTGCATGGATGATTTTGACAATTGACAGAAAAGCACATCTTTGGGCTCTCAACCTAGGAACTTAAAAAAATAAGTTTTAAGTATATTGCTTACAGTTGGGTTTTTATTTTAAATACGTTGTTGAACTTGTTATTCCATTCAGGGAGAAGATAGCATTTAAAATGAACTCAAGGCAAAAAAAAAAAAATTGAAAGATCAGTTTGCTTGTGGTTTGGTTTAATAGTCTAGGATCCTACTTGACAGATGTGGTCCTATGTGTGTTTCCTAGTGTGAATATTTTAGGTCTCTTTACTTTTATGCAAACAAGACCTTATAATTAATATGACTGCAGTAACTGAAACTAAGAAGCTATAGCTATTTATCAAAGCAATTAACTGTTTATACAGACTGAAGATAAAAGTTAGCTTAATATCCATCACGGATGGATAAAATGCTTAAAAAAAAAACAAAAAAACCAAACCCTGAAAAGTGCATTCATTGAGAACAAAAAAGAGTTGTCAGTAGATGTTTGAGCCAAGGGGCTTCATAAACTAAAATAATACGAAATTGGAAGCCATTCCTCTTACTGAATGGGAAAATGGCTTGGAGCCCCAGCTTGCAAGCTTCATAGGCCTTTGTTCTTTCAGTTAATGATTGAAATGTGCTAATGTATACACCAGGGTTGGATGGAGGGGCTGAGCTTCAGGAACATAGGAGTGGTCCTTGCATCTAGATTCATCTGATGGAGTTAACTTAGGATGTGCTGGAGACTTAATTCCGCATTCTGATACTGTGTGAGAGCTATAGACTCTTAAAACTCTTTTCAAATAAGTTTTCAGTCCCCCCCCCACTTCTTTTATATTCCTCCTCAGCTGCCTGCCTCTTCAATKATGGGACCATATATATTTTTTTTCTACATGGATATGAGTTAGCAAAAAAAAAAAAATCATACACCTCTGATGGGAACTAGAAGAAAAATCGCAGTTGGAACTGTTTTTCTGTGTAGTCACTTGAACACAGCTTTGATTTAATGTCCTCTTCTCATCTTCATACATGGCCTGTTTGGGGCCAAAATGCTCAGAATAAGCTATCATTTGCTAAGTGAATTTAAGTTCTGCTGGAGATGTATTTTTAAATTCGATCCAAGATTCAAAGAGGCTATTTCCTCAGGGAATAAGCAGAACACTTGGGACAAAGGCCTACATTTAATTGTCCCTTGCAAGAACACTCTCTGGTCCTCCCTCAGCTGTGTCGCTGGGATGTGAGTGGGTGGGGAACCTCCAGACAGCCTTGAAGGGGCCCTCCTAGATGTTGTGGGCAAGTCAGCTGATGTCCCTGGAAGATGAGAGCACATGCCGCATCCTTCCTGGCCAAAGTCCCACAGTGCCTGGTATCTCAGAACAGAAGGCTGCTGCTGGGTGGCTTGTGGTGGGACATGGATGGGGCCTTCTCTTTCATGCTTATTAGAATGAAGAGATAGAGAAAAGTAAAAAATAGAGTCARTTTTTATGAAATAGGAACATGGACCCAAATCCAGGAGGGGAAAGTTTCTTTGCTTTTACTTCTCCACTTCAGGAGAAGTTTGAAGGGAATCAGCTYAGAGAAAATTTGAAAGACCTTTGATGCCCAATGGGTGTGGGTGCACCCCTCCCCAAAGCACTTAGTAACCCAGGGACAGTGAGAGTTAATTCTTGTCTGAGCCAATCTGACTGTGTGAAGGGCCAGTGTCTGAGAAGCTCAGCTGCCACCTCTGACCCGCTCCTCAACTCATTTTTCTAAGGTGCCAGTTGGCTTGGAGGCACCGTGCACAATTGCCTCATGAAGGGCCCGCTCTTCGTTTTGGAAACTCTCATTTTTCATCATGCTAACCCTTCCCATCCAGCTTTTGTCCCCGTCTTGTCTTTGTTTCCACACTGTGAAAAGATATGTCAGGAGGGCGCCATTTTTAAGGGGTGTGAGGATCCAAGCAGATGTGGATTTCACACAGAGGGAAACCTCACTGAATTAGCAGTATTCCAAACCCGGGGATGACTGTATCCACAGGCCATTAGCCAAAGAGCACTTTTCAGACTAACATTTTTTTTTTGCTGCAATGACCAGTCATCTTAGAGATGTCTACCAGGTTTGCATTCTAGGGCAAAAAAAGGAAGACKGACAAAAAAAGAAAAAAAAAAGCAGCACTATTTGTATTTTCAAGATAGACTTAACGAAAAAAGCAACATTTGTGTTTTGTGTAAAAGCCCCTTTATACTCTGTGTACTCAAAGGGCAGTGTCTTATTTCTCTCTGTCCTCAGAGGATCACTTTATCTCCTCTTCCTTTAGCCACAGTTTCTTTATTCTACAAGTCTCCTGTCCATGGCCATGACATTTTCTGTATTATCAGCGTTAATCCTCAAATAACTCCCTGGTATCTGTCTGCTCTCCTCATTTGTTTCCACTCCCTCCATGTTCTCTGCCTCTCTAATCTGAGCTAGATAGATTAGATGCTGCAGGAACTTTCTGGATCCTCCTGCCAACCACGAGCCCTCCTCAAGTTATTCATTTTTAAAACGTGGGAGGGGGAAGGTCTGTGGTGAATCAGAGCCACCGCCATTCCTGGAAGGGGATATCACAAATGGCCACAACTCAAGTGTGGAGCAGGGACGTCCCAGGAGAGAGCCGTCTGCAGATGCTTGAGTTGGCATGGCCATCCTCCTACAGAATGGTCTGCTGGATACGTAGTTGGCATAGCCGTCCTCCTGCACGGGACTAGGTCCTGTTGTCACCTGTCCTGCTGCTGACTTCTCATTCCTTCAAAAGAGGCGGTTAGCAAGCTCTCARAGTAAGTGCAGGAGAAACTGATTCTGATATAGGGATTTCCATGCCAGAAGGGGCCTTTCCCCCCTGAGCATCTCGTTCAATACCCTTATTTTACAGTTGAGGAAAGTGAGGCCCTTCATCCCAAGCCCTGGTCCCAGCTTCAGCTGTCTGAGTTGAAGGCTTTCTCTCTAATCGGACACTTTTTTTTTTTTTTTTTATCAAGTGGCTTCTTGTTACACATAGAAATGTCTCCATATGCAAATGGAATTTGAGGTGGCTTAGGATAGCCTCCATTTTTCTTATTACAAATAGAGATCCTATAACTTTTATGAGAATATATATATATATATATATATATATATATATATATATATATGTATTTTTTTTTTTTAACTGGAAGGAGACTAACTCCCCCTCCCTCTTCCCCCTAAGCTGTGTGTGCGTGTGACACTCTGAGGCAGAGACAGGAAGATGGTTGCTGTAGTGGCAGTAGAGAACAGCAGTGTTTTAAAAGAATATGAGTAGATACTTGTACTCTTGCGTGAGAAGTAGGCCAATCAGTTTGGGATTTAAAAAGCAAGTTTTCATTTATCACTCTTTATGAATACGTTTAGAACTGTCCCCTGGGCAATTAAAAAGCCTTGTCCAGAGGCAGACTTTGTGCTGCATGATGAGACAGAAGGAGAGGTTACAAGTGGCAAAGGAGGAGGTGCCAGGCAAAACCCAGTATGGCCACAGCTTGTGTGGCCATAGGAATAATCTGGCTTGGATGGGGCTGGGGGCGTCTAAGACATGTAGAGGCTCCAAGCCTAGCAAATTCTATGCTCCTGTGCGAAATGAAAATAATACCAAACGTTAGAATAAGGGTAACAAGTCTACCCCAATTCCAAGCTTTCCTTCAGTGACTTCTTTCATGGACACTTTGGGAAATAAKAAGTTTGGATATCTTCAAAACAGCCGTAGAGAAAATCAATCCAGCACTGCTGCCTTAGGTTCTGAAATGTCAGAGAGAAGATACCAAAGATCTCTCTTTTGTTACTTGTTGCTTCTCTCTGTGTTGAGGCTCTTTCTTAGCTCCCCCTTGAGGTGGGCCCAGAGCCTGGGTGTCAGTTAGGGATAGGGAGGGCCTGTGGTAAGCAGCCAGGCTGAGGTTTATCTCGCTCGGCAGGGCTTACAGTGTTGGGGGCTTTGCCTGGCCCCATCCCCTAAGGTAGTCCAGGGTGGGCATGTGCTGGGGTTTCTCCTGCCCTGCTCAGTGGGACCAGGGCTGGTCTGTTAGGGGCTCACCCTGCCCCTCAGCAGGGACTGCACACCTGGGTGTGGGGGTGTGTCGGGGGTGGATTCTCCTTGTTCCCCTGTCCCCAGCCTCCCAGCTGATGTGCTGGGGCTCACCCTGCTCCCCACCCCAGCTAGCATGTGTTGGGCCTCCCTCTGCCCTCTCCAGGAGACCCAGCGGGGGGTTCTCTCCGCACCCCCAGCGGGTCACAGGCCTACTGGGTGGGCAGGCAACCTGGTGACCCCACGTCCTCGCCCGCAGGCAGCCGCGAGACGGCCTTCACGTATGCGGTGAGCGCCGCGGGGGTGGTGAACGCCATGAGCCGGGCGTGTCGCGAGGGCGAGCTGTCCACCTGCGGCTGCAGTCGCGCTGCGCGCCCCAAGGACCTGCCCCGAGACTGGCTGTGGGGCGGCTGCGGCGACAACATCGACTATGGCTACCGCTTCGCCAAGGAGTTCGTGGACGCGCGCGAGCGGGAGCGCATCCACGCCAAGGGCTCCTACGAGAGCGCGCGCATCCTCATGAACCTGCACAACAACGAGGCGGGCCGAAGGGTGAGTCTGCCCGCGTCCTGCCCCGCCACCAGGCCTGCTGTCCCCAGCCACAGTGGCTTCCGGTGCCTCTACCGCCTCCTGGCTGTTTCTGGCTCAGCATCTCTTTCTCTTTCCCGGTCTCCTTCATCTTTCCTTGTGTCTCTCCGCCCCTCTCCTGTCCTCCTGTCACCACCCATCTCTTCCCTTCACGTCATCCGTCTCTGGAGAGGGGTACACACCCCTGAGAGGGTTCCTAGGGGTGAATCATCCCACCTGCCCATCCCAGCCAGCTGCTGGACAAGCTAGCTAGATCTCCCCTTCCTTGTGAGCCAGTCCCCGGAGCAATTTTAAAAAATAAAAATGTTAATAATTTTCTCCCTCCTCCTTGGATCATGTTTGTGGTTGGGTTGCAATTTGGAGAGAGAATTTGTGTTTATCCTCAGTAGATGCCCCACTGAGAAAGGCCTCACCCCAGCTCTGAGGCCTTCTCTTTCTTTTCCTTTCCTTCTCCCTGCTCTCCTTATGTCATTAGATAGCAAGCCCGATGGGTTGAGGGTTTTTRAAGAGGGCTTTTCTAGGAAAAACGACAGCATTTTTAGCAGCGTGGAATTTTATAGGGCTGACCAACGGGCCAATCACAGGGTGGCTGTGGAGAGGAGGGGAGCAGCAGCAGTGCCCAGTGAGACTGGTCTTGCAGCCCTCTTGATTCCCCGGACCCTACTCTCTCCTTCTCCTGGTGGGGATATGAAAAGCTACTCCACAATAGTTAAAAAGACCCTTTTTTTCCTGCGGTTAAACACATGGCACTTTATGGCTGCTTTAAAATGAAGGGGTGAAAACTTTTCTTAACTTTGGCAGCAGTGAAAACCAGGGCCATTATTTTTTTTTTTTTTTTTCACAGAACCCAAGGTAGGTGCCAGGAACTTTCTGGTCAGAGATTTCACTCTTCTGTATTTTGGGGTGAGGAAAAAGAGAGATAATCACAGGGTAGATCGTACAGGACTGGAAGGAGCCTTAGAACCCTCTGGCCCACACTCTCATTTCAAAGATCGGGAAACTGAGGCCAAGAGAACCACTTCGTGACCGTGGAAGAAAATTAACGGATTGAAATCTAAGTCTAGGTTCATTTATATTAAACTCTTGCATCATAGTTAGGGGTGAAGGGCCAGAGCTTTTGGAATTAGAGGTTTCAATCCAGTTTAGTCTGTTCCTTTTGGTTTCTGAGCCTCCGTTCCGTTCCCTTACCTCCACCTCTGTCAATGGCCGTGACAGTGACTCTCACTTGGGGTTGTTGTAAGGACTAAACAAGATCATGTGGTAGGTTGAACCATATGACATTGGCAATTCGTGGCCATTTTTGACTGACAAAATGATAATTTCATTTGATTCAATCTAAGGTTTTAGTTTTAGTGTCAGCCAGTAGTAAGTGCTTGATAAATGATCACTTAATTATTAAATGTTATGGAGTAAAAGATGTGGAGAAGTCAAAGATTGCATAGATAAATCCTGCTAACTTATCTTCTTCTCAAATATTAAACATTTGGGGGTGTCAGGAAAAGATAAAATTCTGCCAATTTTTGCCTGTGGTTGCCTTCAGGACTCAAATAATCACTCCAGTTGAAATGTAGCCTCCTGTCCCCGGCCTCCTCTGCCACAGAGCCTGCACTATTCGTTGACATGGTTGGGTTCAGCCCTGCTCTGTCTGAAAGCCCGTGACCTGGCTCCTATCCTTATCAGGGACACCTCACTCCACTCTGTGCCTCTGACCAGAAGCACCTCCAGGAGAGAGGTGTGGTTGACTGCTCTGGGTCCATCCAGGGGTGCACCCATATTCCACACTCTCAGCCATCTTTAGAACATTCTTACAATTCCCCCCCCCCCCAACATGGAGAAATCATCAGGGGCTTGACAACCAAGGAGAGAGGGTTGGGGGATTTATAGATGACAAGAGGGGACTTTAGGAGATTTTGAAAGGTACCTTTCATATTTTAATTTCATTCAATATCCACATTTTTAATAGTGGGTTTTATTGGGGGCATATTCTATCATTGGAGCAGTAAGCTGAGTTTAGATCCTGGTGGGTGAGGTTACATAGAAGACAGCTTTTCTCCAGGATGGTGGGGGTAGGGGTGGGAAGTTGGGCACTATGCCAGGAAGTCATATTAAAATTTCCTCAGGGCATTAGCTTTTTATTTTCCTCAAAGGGGAGCAAAGGTTAAATATGTTTGCAAAACCTTCCTCTGACTAGCTGAGTGCCTGAAAGTCTTTATGCWGAGAGTACACTTTGGCCCCTTTTAAAAGAAAGCCCCTTATGAATCCCTGGGGGAGGAAGGTAGCTGTCGGGTGGAAGCGGCCTCCAGGTTCCTGACTGGCCCTCACCAGCAAACCCACGCCATGTAGATTCTGCAAGGTTGCTGGCACAAGGAACTGTGGGCAGTAGGGACTATAAATAGGCAACCACCACCTCCCAGACTGCTGGGCACAGTACTGTGGGGCCAGACCCATGGGCACTGCTACTGGGAGGCCAGAGATGACTGGGCAAGGGCCCAGACGCCATGCCCCCATCACCCTGGAGCAAGACCAGATGCACTCTGTCTGGCGTGCTGAACACTTTCTGTGCCTTCCCTTATTTTATCCTTTTAACAGTGTTGAGAGGTTGGTACCTCACAATCTCCTAGACAGATGGAAAATGATGCTTAGCAAGGTGCAGCCAGTTGCCTAAGTTCAAGGGCAGARTCAGGAACAGAATCTGTGTCTACCTGGCTCCAGGGTGGGTGCTTTTGGCCTGTGGGGTAGTGGGCAGGTTAGAGACTATGCTGGAAGCAAGAATGGCGACACCTGAAATCTAGGCCTAGTCTCCCCACATTCTGTCTGTATGGCCTGTGCAGGTCTCGTACTGTCTCTGTATCACTCTGTTGTCATCTAACCCAGATCGAATGAGATCAAGAGCTGTGGCAGTGCCTGGCACACAGTAGTGATTGTAGGATTGTATAAAGGTTCAAACCYCAATCCCAGTGGGGATGGACCCCCTTCTAAATTCAAGACTTACCAACTGTGTGACCATGGGCAAGTCCCTTAACATGAGCTCAGAGTACAACTTCCTGGGTTCAAATCCTACTCCTCCACTTCCAAGTRGCTGGAGGAACTCATCTCTCTGGTTCTCACTTTCCTTCTGTGAAATGGGGGTAATAAGAGCATGTGCCTTGTGGGATGGTGGTGGGGATTCATTCAGGGAATGCAGACAAGGGATTGTGAAGTCACCGAGATGCATGTTCCCATGTACTGGGTTTCCCTAAAAAAGAAGCAAATGGAGTTATCCACCCCTGTCCCCATTCAAAAACTTTGCCATCATATTTATTTTGTTGAGTTTTTATAGAAGGCAACACAAGCCTTCTGGTAGTGGAGAATGAAGAAGTAACACAGCCCCTAATTGAAACCAGCTCCACTAGAAGGTGAAGAGCTTTGTTAATACAACCCACACCCACGTCTTGGGGTCCTCCATGAATTCGCACACTAACTCCCCTCCCTGTTGCTCCTAGACGGTGTATAACCTGGCCGATGTGGCCTGCAAATGCCACGGAGTGTCTGGCTCATGTAGCCTCAAGACGTGCTGGCTGCAATTGGCAGACTTCCGCAAGGTGGGTGACGCCCTGAAGGAGAAGTATGACAGCGCCGCGGCCATGCGGCTCAACAGCAGAGGCAAGTTGGTGCAGGTCAACAGCCGCTTCAATTCACCTACCACGCAGGACCTGGTCTACATCGACCCCAGCCCCGACTACTGCGTGCGCAACGAGAGCACGGGCTCCCTGGGCACGCAGGGCCGTCTCTGCAACAAGACGTCGGAAGGCATGGACGGCTGCGAGCTCATGTGCTGTGGCCGCGGCTACGACCAGTTCAAGACCGTGCAGACGGAGCGCTGCCACTGCAAGTTCCACTGGTGCTGCTACGTCAAGTGCAAGAAGTGTACGGAGATCGTGGACCAGTTTGTGTGCAAATAGTGGGCGCCTGCCCGTCACCTAGCCCCATTCCCAGGACCCACTTATTTATAGAAAGTACAGTGATGCTGGTTCTTTTTTTTTTTTCTTTTTAAAAAATATTTTTTATTTTTTCCCCAAGAATTGCAAGCAGAACCATATTTTTTTTCTGTTACCATCTAAGAACTCTGTGGTTTATTATTAATATTATAATTATTATTTGGCAATAATGGGGGGTGGGAACCAAGAAAAAAATATTTATTTTGTGGATCTTTGAAAAGGTAATACAAGACTTTGCTAATATAGGATGAGGGGATTACAACACACCCCCCAACTTAGCTGCGTGGAGGTAGTGTGCATCCAGAAAGTAAATACATTTTTTTTTTTCTTCTCAACTCCGGAGTCATATGGGATGGGTTAGGATCAGTTGGAAGAGGATGGTGCAGGTCTGCTTGAGATTCTGCCTCTGTGACCAAAATGAGTTGTAAATGCTCTGGTGCAAAATAAAAGGTCTTGTAACAAAAAAAAAAAAAAAAAAGAGAGAGAGAAAATGAGATACTGCCCCCTCCTGCCACTTCCCAGGGGTTGCCAGCCTGCTTTTATATTTCCAAAATGAKCATGTTAAATATAAGAGCAAGAATCTTGATCTTCAAAGAACAAAAGGTATATCATATATCTCATTCTTCTCACATATTCCATGTACAGATGGTCTTATTCTAATAGCTGGTGCAACTTGGGTAGCAGAGAGGAAAGTCCCCAGAAATTAAAAAAAAATTGCAAGCTTCTAGAAGGAGGCCATGATTGGAAGGTGTTCTCCCCAAATKATTCTGGCTATTATTTTGATCCAAATGATTTTGCATAATATTTTGTTTGGGGAGGGAGCATTATCTTGACTATAAGGAAAAAAATATCTTGTGATTTTCTTAGGGATACTTGGTTCATAAAGGCTAGTAATGAAAATAATGCATGAATTCCATCCACAGATCCTCAGGCCAAACAGCAAGCTGATTGCATAGAGTTCCACACTGCACCAGAACAGAAAACCCAATTTGAGGGGGAAAAAAAAAAGTGAAATCCACCTTCCCACTTGACCCCAAGCCCTCTCTGGTCTCTCTGTGCCGTGATGTGATGCTGGCCACGCTTCCAAACGGCAGCTCCGCTGGGTCCCCTTTGATTATAGGACAGGAAATGAAATATGAGGAGTTCCACTTGGAAAACAGTGCGCTACTTAGGGATTTTTTTTTCTAAAACTTTTATTTTGAAGTGCAGTAACTTCCTATGTTTCAATGACATTACTCGGCTAACAGAGTCCACAGAGATGTCCCAGTGATTTGCTGTTATAATCCTGTGTTGAGACTATCCACCCGTGCTTTTCCTATTTTACTGCAGGTGTACCCCAAAACTGTTCCTAATATACTTGAACAGTTGCATTTATAAGGGGGGGGATGTGGTTTAATGGTGCCTGATATCTCAAGTCTTTTGTACATAACATATATATATATATATACATATATAAATATAAATATAATTATATCTTGGTGCAGCCAGTGATCTAGATTTACTGTTTACTCGGGGCTTATTTTTCTGTCTGGAGCATTGTCGTCCTTCACTGCAATTTATCCAGTTGGGATTTTTCCAAAAGTTTTTTTTTTTTTTTTTTTGAGTCTTGAGCTTGGCCTGTGGCCCTTGCCGAGCACCAGGAAGCAAGCTGATTTCTGAGGAAGCTTGACAGTCTGACTGGCTGAAGTGCATGTTGATTTGGAGATTGTTTTCCTCTTTCCTGTCCAACTTCTTTTCTCCTGCCTCCTTTTCTTTGTAGACTGTGTGGAGAGGGCATTATTTGTTCAGTGCAGGTGTGGATGGTAAGAGGTACAGCCCAGAAACATTGTCATCCCTTCTCACTGTGTTTAGCTCCTTCTGCAGAGTGGAAACTGGTACCTGTCAGACTTGATGGCACTTATTTGAATCCCTAAGGAAAACCCAGTCCACTATATAGATAGCTATTTTTTTTTTTTTTTTAAACCAGGACACCTCTTTTCCCAAAGTGCCATCAAGTGTGTCCCTATCTCAGACTCACATGGTTTTCAAGGTTTGGGACGATGCACATCACCCATACCCTTTGTAGGCTTGGTGGCCTGCACATCACCTCAGCCAGCTGTGGCTCTTAATTTATTGCACAAGGATATTCACTTCCCCTTAGTTGCAGTGAATTGAAAGAAAAGATCTTGAAATTAAAAAAAGCACTAATGAGTTTAAAATGTCACTTTTTTGGTTTTTATTCTTCAAAAACCATGAAGTACTTTTTTTTTTTATTTGCTAAATCAGATTGTGTTCCTTTTTAGTGATTCACGTTTATGAACAGAGTTGAGTTTAACGATCCTAGCTTTTAAAAGAAACTATTTAATGTAAGATATTCTACGTGTCATTCAGATATTATGTATATCTTCTATGGCCTTTATTTTGTACTTTTAATGTACATATTTCCGTCTTGTGTGATTTGTATATTTCACTGGTTTAAAAAACAAACAAACATTGAAAGGCTTATGCCAATGGAAGATGGAAGATAGAATAAATAAAATATTACTTGTATATTGGTAAGTGGTTTCAGTTGTCCTTCAGATAATTCATGAGGAGGTTTTTGGAGAAAGGCATGAGGGATAGCTTAGGATGACTACAAGTTAAAATAACGGAAGAGGAGAGAGGGTTTTTTTTTTTTTTTTTTTTTTTTTTACCAAAACCAAACTATTTGGAAGCTTCAAAAGATTTCTATATGTAACAGAACAAAAGGGGAATTCTCTTTTCCTATATGTGTTCCTCAAAAAAAAAAAAAAAAAAGCAAGCAGATGGCTTAAAGCTGGTTATAGGATTGCTCACATTCTTTTAGCATGATGCATATAACTTAATTGTTTTAGAGCGTGTTGCTGTTGTAACATCCCAGAGAAGAACCAAAAAGGCACATGCTTTTATCCATGACCAGATTTTTAGTAAAAAAAAAAAAAAAAAAAAAGATAGCTTTATGTTTACCACTGCAACTATTGCACCTTTATGTTAGAGCGTGAGGTGGAGCAGGTGTGCTATCTCTATGCCCCTTTGAAAACAGTTTTTATGAAAAGAAAGCCTCAGTCTGCAATTAGAACACGTTTTTGTGCTTTATGGAAATGTACACCTAATTCTCGCCAGTCCCGCACAGACTGATACTTAGCCCTTTGCATCTTTTTGTTCTTTTTTCTTTCTTTCTGGATAACCTTGTAACATATTGAAACCTTTTATGGACGCCAAGAATACATTACTCCACAAAAAAACAGTAGGCCAACATATAGAGTGTTTAAAATAGCATTTCTGGGCAAATTCAAACGCTTGTGGTTCTAGGACCCACATCTGTTTCAGTTTTTCCTCAGTTGTATATTGACCAGTGTTCTTTATTGCAAAAACATATACTGGATGTAGCAGCGTCAGCATATTTTTTTTTCYTTCTCATCCTGGAGAGCATTCAAGATCTTCCCAATACAGGAAAATTAACAAAAAATTTATATACAGGCAGCAGCAAACAGGGCCGTGTTCAAAATGGTCATTATGGCCTTAAGTAAAAGCAAGACTTTTGTGTCTCAGTCTAGCGTCTCTGTTCAGTTTTTTTGAGGTGCTGGCCTCCTGAGGTCAGTAGCCTCTCCAAAGTCTTTCTCAGATGATTTTGCCAATACCAGTTTTCAATTTGTGTTTACAAAACATTATTCAAACCACTGGTGTCCCCAGATATGATGTGATAGAAGGACACTGAGTTCTCCAGACAAGACTGGTAGTAGCTGACTCCTGTAGATCATTAGCAAAACCAGTCCCCAAAGATGGAGTGGCCCATAATATAAATATATAGAGAGATAGATAGAAAAGTTGCTTATAACTTGAAACATATATTTAATAGAAATAAGCACCAAGGCACAGAACTAAATAGTGCATTATTGCTGTAAAAAGTATACTTTAAAATATTTATTTTTTTAAAATAAGTGTTTTYTAGTCTCCTCTCTATGGAATGGTAAATACAAGATGCTGTGTTTTGAAAGATAATGAAATAAATTGTTTATTCAGGAAACAGAGACATAGGAATGAAAACTTAGACGTCTTCTAACTTACCTGTTGACACAAATTTTTACACTTCAATCGGATGACTGGATAGTGTTTTATTTTAGAAAAACATCAGCAAAAAATGGATGTTGAGAAATTAAAGGTTGGGTTGAGTTTTTTTTTTTTTAAATGTATCAATTTGAATCTAGAAGATTGAATTAAAATGCTGTCTTAGGATTTCCAAAGCAAAAGGAATGGAGAGAAATTGCATCTTAGACCATTTTTATATACAGTGTACMATTTGCTGGGTTAGAAATGAGATAAAGATTATTTATTTTTGTTCATATCTTGTACTTTTCTATTAAAATCATTTTATGAAATCCAGTGTAGTCATGTGTGTGTGTTTAGCCGACAGGGGTACCCATTGAAGTTTGATGGGGGACCCCGGTTATGGCTTAGGGTGTCTAGAACACTACCATTTCAGGCATGTACACAATATTATGTTTGAATCTCAAGGATTCATTTTGTACTTTAATACTCTTATTTTCTTTTCCTGTTGCTAATTTTTCTATTTCTTGTTTGCTCTGTGGCTGCTGCTAATATGTACACGTTGTAGTGGGAGGTTATTCTTCAATGTAGTCTTTTAGCACAGAGAGATGGGTTTTGCCATGCAATGCTAAGGCAAGAAAAGAAAGATAGAAGGATTTGAGGAAAGAAAGAAAACTGTGTGAGATATTTTGCTTGTTGTCTCTTTCATGTTGCAATGGTTGCCAGTGAGCGTCTTAGAGCAGAGTTCCTTAGGCTTGGCACTATTAACATATTAGGCCAGATCATTCTTTGTTGCAGGCACTTGTCCCGTGCAGTGTTTAGCAGTGTGCTTGACCTCTACCCACTAGATGCTAATGACATCGTTCCATCTGAGACAACYAAAAATGTCTCCAGACATTRCCAAATGTGCCCTGGGTAGCAAAATCACCCCACTTGAAAAAAAMCCCCAGTTT